TCATCGGAATAAATTCTCTAGAGATATTATGAAAACATTGTTAATTTTTGGAAAATTCTCATCCTCTCAAAAAGGGGACAACTCGGCAATTTTTTTTTCGTTTAATGAAAATTATATCTAATGAAATTCTATCAAATAAAAATTCTAACAATTGAATTTTAGAGCTTATTTATACATCCCAAAGCAATATTTAAAATTAGCTACAGGAGAAAAAAAATGACAATTGTTTTCTTTTTCTGTTTGAAAATTAATGCGAAGGGATACGGTGGGCGGGTTGTTTGTGGATATAAAATTTCGAGCTGTATTTTTTCTTCTTTTTTTTGAAAAATATAATATACGAGGGGCTCGTTAGTGAGGCGAGGACTCATCGTGTGTGCAACAAGTGCGGTTGATGTGTTATTGTCAATGTTCAGCTATAAATACTGATTATCAACGAAACCGCGTGTTTCACTGAGATAGGCTTCTTTATATGAGTGTGCTTGACGATAAAGTGCGAGGCAAGTCGACTTCCTGAGGCACTTCCAATCATACCGAGATTGGATGCATCGACATCACACACCATCACAAGAAAGGCGGATCCCAATACAGTAGCTTATACGAGAAGGCAATAATTGTCCCATATGGACCAATTATCGTTCTCGAAGCTGATTAACCGGTTCTCAACATTGGACCCGAAAGATCTATATATATATACACACATAAAACTGATACATTCTCAATCCTTATCGAATCTTAGTTATGAAGACAAACAATGACCTTATCCATGTTTTTATATGATAAAAATATGTTTTAAAGATGTTAGTAACTAGATAAAACTTATTAGCTATGACAACGAAAAAATTTGCTGTGATAAATAACAGTCAAAATTTTTTAAAATTAACTTTCACAACAAAATTTTTTGACACTACAATTTGTATTATAAATTTTTAAAGATTGTACCAATAAAACAATGGAAATGACATTGTAAATAAAATATGAATAAAATTATGATAACTCACATCCGATTGTTCAACAATTTTTTTTGTATTATAGATAAGAACACAATAGTGAACAAAACTAGTCATTTTTATTTTCCCTCGAGTATTTCAATTCAAAGAGAGCGATTTACAATCTCACCCTAAAGAGTTTGCCACAAAACGATTCTCTTTCTTCAAGCAGACCAAGATGCATAATTAACCTGGCACGAAAGTTTTTTTTTTCTTTTAGCTGTATAACAATTCGTCTAAATTTGAGATACCTATCGGAATAATTGCCTCTCTATGGCGCAAACATTTCCATGTTGCAAATTTCAAGAATCTAATATAACCAAGATAAAAATATTTAAAAAAATGATTGTTAATTTTTAATATGATTTATAATTATAAATACAAATATATTTTATAATAACTAATAATTTATAATTATACATTTAGTATATAATTTATTATATAAAATAATTAATGAAAAACAAAACGGCGATGACTTTGAAATAATAATAAAAAAAATATATTGATGGGTACCGAGGTTGCTGTCCGATAAAATTGATATGTATGACGTGTTGCTTATAAAGCACGGGCCATGATTTTGCACGACGAATGCAAGTAAAGAAGAAGGGTTGGGAGGGGGTTTGGGCAAAACTTGGCAGGAATCGAAGGAAGAAGAAGCTCTCGCTAACAACGTCTGAAGATTGATTCACAATGTCGCGACGGTAAACATAACAGAGAACGTATTCAAATGAGATAGACACAAATTTATTACCCCACTGACATGAAAGGGAAAAACAATATCTTTAAATACATCTTGTTTCATTAATTTTCGCGCGAAAATATATATAATAAATATGAAAAATAGAATAAAGAGTTGAAAAACAATAAATATATTTCGTTCTTTTTTTTTATTCCAGTCACGTTTATATGAGGACACTATGTAAAAGACAACTGTATTCCTATATAAAGAGTAAAGAAATTTGTGACTTAAAAGAGACGTTGATAATAAACACGTGTTTAAAAAAAAATTATGTGAAAAATATTTAAAAACATTTTAATAATATTAAGGCAACGAATTTTAATAAAATATTAATAATATTTTTTAATATCTACTACTATTATTATTATCATTATTAATATGCGAATAAATCGTATTTCAAAAGAGCCCGCCCTTTTTCGACCAATCAGATAACACTTGTAAGGCGCGTGCGCAAGTGCGTTTGAAAAGGGTCTTTTTGAAGCAATTAAACTACTTGAATGATTCAGCGTCCTAATATTTGTTATATATACAAGGGAGAAACGTATTTCCGTTCTTTTTAATTAGATCATGCATTCTAGTGTTTATTAACAGAATGTATTCGACCGTTTTCTGTGTTTTTTTTATGGAAAAAATTTCATAAAATTCCAAGGACAGCAGAATTTATAATTTCTACATATAAAATGAATCACTGATTTCCTTTTTTTTTCTTTTTTCTACAATAAACATGTAGATCATAATCAAACAACGAGTTGCGGTTTTAGAAAAAGTAATGCAACAATAACGTGCACATCGTGGAAAGTATATTTGGCAATATAAATAATAATATTAATCAAGTGACGTATATAATTGAAAAAACATAAAAATTTATCACTGCCATTGAAAGTTAATCAAAATTTTATATATTAAAATTATTTTTTTCCAATTTTTTTGATTTAAATAAAAATTTTTTTTTTCGTTTAATATAATAATCAAATAGTTGATTATTTGTAAAAATTTTTTTTCAAATTTTATATACAATGATCTAGTTCAAGGTTCGTTAATGTTCTGCGATCGTTATATTCGACCGTGAAAAAAGTACCGTTATGTCAATTGAAGGGAACCCCACAGGGACAAATGACAATTCTTTATTTCTTTATTTTTAATTATTAAAAAAAAATGTTCTTTTCAATTACAAAAATTGCTTTTTCACTAAAATAAAATCAATTTACCCCTCTAGGACAAAAATATATTTTTTTGTACTCTGAAAATATTTTCATCTACTGTCCCAAACCTAATTTTTGAAAAAAAAATAATTAAAAAATAAAACAGGAGTTAAAATTTACAAAAAAAAAAATGAATACTGTCAGGGATGATTAAGCATTCGCTTGTCTTGCTGATGACGCGATTTTTTTTTTAAACCACGAACAATTATCCTCGTCTTCTGTTTAATGTCAACAAAACTGTGGACAGAGGAATTCAAAAGAACGCCTTGAATGACATGAACGATATATATGTATATGTATATGAATATACTATACTATATATGTTTAAATCACCGGTATCATCATTACCAGTAGTACCAGAATCATCCTCTTTATTGCTCGCTTTATTGTCAGCAACATTGACTACTTCCACGAAACAAGTAATCGAAATGCTACGTTGCTTCTATATATTACGCTTCGATGCCCATCGACGGCACCGAGGCTCGCCGTATGAAAATCGTCACTTTCTCGTTCATGTAATTACGCATCTATTATTTCATTTCGTGTACTATATTTTAAGCACCGAGAGAATATTACATATTTTTTTTCTATATACTCTCCTTTATTCTAAATAAAAAAATATAACTTTCAATTTTGCATCATTATTTCGAAAAACAATTCTAAGTAAATAGTGCAAAAATTAAATTGCATAATTATAAATATAATTACCATTATAATAATAATACAAATTTTGGTAAAAATGTAAGTATAGTATAGTTTCTCTAACCTTGGAAAATACAAAAAAAACCTTGTCCTATGTAACATTTGCGAGTTTGTTGAATGAATAAAAAATAAAAAAAATAGAATTGCAATCCTTTTGTTAATGTTTAAGTATTCGCGTACTATATTATAAACTAAGCAAGTCTCGGAGGATATTTACGGACGCACGTGTCGGATGCTTCTTAACCAAGCTCTCTCTAATTGAGAACCAAGAACTTGCAGTGTCTCTCTTACTCTCTCGTTTCATCTTTATAGACATACATTCATCGAAACCTTGAATTCCACGAAAGCGAGAGATTCCTCTATATTATGTCGTTAATCCCAAAAATATCTGCATAATCCGATTTACATTCTTGCAAGCGTACTCGTTTTTGCATTCATTATATAAAATATATGCCGAGTCATTTTTTTTCTACACCTGTTCTTTTATAGCTTTGTTATATATCTATACTAATTAATAAATCATTGTTAATCATTAAAATCAAAAATAATTTTCAAAATTATTACAAAGAAACTAAATAAATTGTAACGAAATTTTTTTCAACTTCGAGTTATATTGACCAGAAGACGAAACAAAAAATGTAGCAATTTTTTTTGGTCCAGATGAGATGAAAGGAAAAGATTTCTTTTTTATAGAGAAGAGTTATTAGGCTGTAATGATCTGCAACCAAATCAGACACTTGGGGAGATATATAATATGTTGTAAGTGCGCCGCGACTAACTTGAGACTCAACGGACTCGTCTTTCAAACACAGGAAGTGCCGAGTACGTGCCAGGCGTTTACAGTGACACAGGTTACAGTTGTCAGTGTCGTTAACATCTGCTATAATCTGTCATAAAGTAAGTCACGTTCGTGTGCCACCGCCGGCTGTCAAAAATGCACTCAACATTATGACAGTGCAGATGATGTCAATGGCAGAACAAGTTTCACTATATATATATTACATAAATGGCTGATCTTTAAACAAACCACGTGTCCTTAAAATTATTACCAAAAAGGAAAACATCTATTCCACAAGATCAAAAATCAAAAGAATTATCAAATTCTGCAGAGGAAGAAACAAAAATTAAAGAAAACTTCCTAGTTATGGAAAAGCCAACCCAAAACATCAGAAACGATGCAACAGAATTAGAACAACCATCAAAATGTTCCCAAAATCAACCCATAAATACGGAAACGAAATTAGTGCGTTCATGGAACTATAAAACCTTCTTCTATAATATATAGCAAATGTAGAAGAATTACTTCTAATATCCAGTTATTTATGAATCGCGCATTTAAATTAAAAATAAAAAACCTTTTGGAAATAGTACCTCGTGGTCTGCCAGAAGACTTCATAGACTTAATTCCCATTCCGGTATGAGTTTCACCGCCGTAATCGACGTACATTTGTGCTGCTCTATAGTACTTACTATTCATTAACAATGTCAACTGTCACCAACTTCACAGTCAATTGTTGTTTTTTCACATCACTTGTTTTAATTTTTTAAGTACCGATTTTCAAAAAACAATTTCAATCCAAATGCTGTTTCTTTTCACTTTAATAAACTTTCCACTTCACAGTTTCTCTCTCATATTATTCTTTTTGCACTTCACTGTCAAATAAATAAGTTTCTTTTAAATTTTAGATTCATGAAAAATAATGAATTAATTTAAATTGATAAAAATCTGTTTCATCACTATTAGTATCCAAAAAATTTTTCCTTGGAACAAGAAGCATATAATCCCAATGGAGAGCCATATCCTGTCAAGGTCAGGTGGCACCAGAGGTGCGCGTCCTTAATTTATCCCATAGTAAAGCGAAGCCGGATCAGCGGTACCCACACACGACTTACAATTCAGTATCGCATGTCCACCATGTGTTTGCTATCAATTCATAACTGCGACCCAGGCTATTTCTGAATACCTGCTTGCGCAACGTTCAGCGTCAGTTGGGGTAAAATCGCTTGAGTATATGTGTATATACGTATATAAGATATTGGCCGAAAATGTATTCAGAGATCCGAGAATATGAAATGTCGCCAGAAATATAGGCCGTGAGTAGCTCTTTAATTCTCAGCAACATTCATGACGTTTTCATTCCGGATATATGTAGATCAAGGAACCCATATTCAAAAAAACATTTCAAAATTAGTTTTTGCAGATGACGATAGGTGGGAGAGATTATCTCTGTCTCTCTCTTTCTCTCTTGACAATCAGATTCAACCAATGACAGTTGTTGAAGGTTCATGTGGTGGGGATAACGCGGCGATAAACTTTCATATGGCACTGTTCCCGTCGCTATATCAACTTGTCGCGGCACAAGAACAGAACGATCGCGATCTCACGTTCAGCAGGTAAGTGCGTGTACTGACGTTGAGAAGAGCAGGGCGAAGGAAAAGAAGATAGAACATATAGGAAGGGGAGAGAAAGAAGAAGAAGAAGAAGTAACTGAAGAAGAGCAGTAGGGGAAGAAATCAGGAGAGGTGGTGAACGTCGCGTGGTTTCTTGAATTTTCCCGAAGGATGATGTTGATGATGATGATGATGATGAAGAGGAAGACACGGTAGGATGAGCCGCGGTGTAAAACTCCCTTCGCAAGCCGGTCCGACTAAAATACTAGTGACGGGTGTTGGTTCGTTCGTCGGTGTTACGGCTGGCTAGGCGCTGAGGCGGTGCAAGGGGACCATGGCTTATTATAAGGGGGAGTGTGCCAGAGAAAGAGAGATACTCGTTCCGCTCACTCGCGATCTAGAAACGATGAGAGGAACAAGGAACGCAATCTCCCTTCCCAGCATCTTTCTCTCTCTCTCTCGAGTTTTATAAACCCCTTCACCTCTCTACTCTCCTGATCCAAGCAGCAGCCGCGTCGGTTGGCCTCACTCCGAAGTTAGTTTTATGAATGAATACTCTCTCTCTCTTTGGATGGATCGAGAGAGAGAAGCGCAGTTGGCGCAAACGCCAACCACGGGCAAAATGCCAAGTATGTAAGTGTGGGTGAACCAACACAAGCATCATTCTTGGCCTTCTCTTCCTCCATTGAGGTTCATTCATACAAGAGACACGCTACGGATACTTTAGAGACCGGGAGCCTGCCAGATAGATAAGAAACACCTTCGACATCTTCATTCGCGCTCATCAAAAAAAACTATCATTATTATTTTCTTTCTCTCATTCAATTTTTTTTTTCTCTATTTTGAAAAAACACCATCAATCTGTTTCAGACTTTAATATGTTCCTAAAGTGACTTAATTGATGACAATTGGTTTCAAACGTACCAATCTTATTTCAAATACTCATTTCTTAGAGAATGTTTATTTCTTTTAAAATAAAGGAGCTGATTGGCTCATTATTCAATCGAAAGTTTCATGATGGGTAATTTTATACTGACCCTTTTGTGACAAACAAATTGAAGATTTTATCACGAATTTTGCGTATGGAAATAGCTTCGTTTTATTGCAACTATGAAGGTTTCGGAGAAAAAATTTTATTCTCAAATACAGATTTAAAAATGTTATCTTCAATTTTAAAGAACCAAGTCGGATGTTATCACTTTCGACTCGCAGATCAATATTGAAATGAGTAATGGTTCAAGGCTAGGAAAGTAAAGAAATGAAGAGCGTCAAATTTGACTTTCATTTCCAGTTTTTTAAATTTCTCTTTACTTTTTTTGTTCCTCTTATTTCGATTTTAAAATCAAATACTAAATATTAAAATACCTAGATCGTGATATAATGAATTAAGGATTCATCAACACCTGAGGTGATAATCATTAACATCAACAAAGGAAATGGAAAATCATAATCAGTACCTAGAGTATAATCAATAGCAGCAACTAAAAACTAATCGCATCGTTTCTAATATAATAAAATATAAATGTATTTTCGCGAGTTGTTTTTTTTAATAAACTATTTATTAGAAAGGATGATTTCTTTTTCTATAAATTCTTCGTGGTGAAAATAATTGGTTCATTCATAAATTGACATTACATTAGCGCCTACAGCATCCGATAAAAGACACAAAAATGGTTTAGAAAGGGGATGTTGAATGATGAAAATTATTATAGAAGGGACTATTGATTGTAATTACCAGCGATTAAAATTAGTACCAATTCTGAAAGTACAATTGTTATAAATATCCAAAAAGTTACCATTGATAACACTGATTTTGGTGAGGCAGAAAGTAACCTACGACAATGAAGAACAATAATATTATATTTATAATTATATAATTCAGGGAATAGTGTTTGGTTACTTCAAAAAAAAGATCTACTGATATAAGCATCCTTTGCAGTAGCTTGAATTTCAGATCAGATCAGCAATGAACAATCGAATCGAAACTGCAGGAAGCTGATTTTTCTAGTTTGTATTGAATGCAACAATCCGGCACTGGATGTAGAAAAGCCAGTGCGGAGAGATTGAAAGAGAGAGAGAGAGAAGGTGTAGTAGCCGCAGGCCGAGCAGGTTTTTGCTGTATTTTTTTTTGCGGCGTTTATTATAACTAGGAAGCTGATGTGCTCCTCGAAGCTGGACTGATAATGTGTTTAATGTACTGGTGAGAATGCGTGTGCGTTGGATGGAGGTACGCGTGTACCTAAAGAGAGAGGAAAACAGAAACAAATCAAAGAGAGAAACAGAGGATACAAATCCAAGAAAGAAATAGAGAATACACATCCAAGAGAGAGAAAGAGGAAAATAGATTCAAAAGAGAAAATAAATCCAAGAAAGAAAGAGAGAAAGAATAATAAAAGACATAAAGTCCAAGAAAGAAGTCCAAAGGAGAGAGATGAAGAGTTTATATATGCATATGAGAGAGAAAGAGAGGAGATGGAGAGCGTGAGAACAAGTAAACTTATAAGGCGCAAGCGAAGAAAAAAAGAGATACCTCTATGGATGAATAAGGAGGCACTTGTGTATATATATATGTGTGTAAGACCACGTCACTTCCTCCAACTTGAGAGCCGATCGAGCTCACCTGCTCGGTTCGGTCACTCGACATCCGGTAACCCCATGGCCCACGATCATGACGGCACAAATGCTTCCGGTCTCTCCTTCCGATGAATACGTTAACTCCTTATGTCAGAATCCTTAAGTTATAACCCCATCATCTTATTTTTCATCTTTCTTATAAACCCCAAATAACCTCCTAAAATTTCCATTTCAGAAAACCAAAAAATACAAGTATATATCCATAAATCTTTCTGATTCTAAATTTTTTGTATGATTCTGTACCAAATTAAAGATTTTAATTACGAATTTTTGGCATACTTCTGAACCAAGAACCAGGCCATTTTTCGAAGCATTTTGAATCCAAATCTGATCTCAGAATTTACCCTCAGCACATCAAGTTTTCCTGTACAAGTTCAGTAATAAATTATCAGTACTTTAGCACAATTCAATTTTTTCCCTTGGACCAAAAGAAACCGAGGATATTGCAGAAAAAAAGAGGTGAAAATTTTGAAATGTTATATCCGCACTATATAAATAAAGATAAGAAATGAATGAAACGATACTTTTTAGTGAATGGAAACATGAAATTGGAATAAGGCGCACTATGAATGCAACGGGGCGTGTTGAGCAAAGTTGTACTATATACTTTCAGAGATCAGTAAAATGTTGCACTTCCGTTTTTGTCTGTAAAAGTTGCACACACACACACTCACTTTTATCTCATCTATTTTGCAAGATAGTATTTAAAAAACCACTCTGATTTTCGCGAGATTAAGTAATAATATAAAATGAATTTATTACACGATGTCGACAAAAGTGTAAAAAAAAGAGGGGTTTCCTCCTCTCTCTAAGAGATTATACTTTTGATCGACATCGGCGTACTTTATATTTCGAAATAAGCGATTATCGCACACGGTATAACGAAACGTGAAAGTTTCGCTATATAGTAATAAAAAAAAAATTTAAGAAGAAGAAGGGGAAGAATAAGAGGCGGTTACGTACACTTCCGGTATATCTTCGAAAAGACACGACAGTTTCATTGACTGTCTCGACATTTCGAGGAATTGTTTCCTGTGAACTATTGACTTTTTAAAAAAGATGTGTATATATAATATTAAAATATTCGAAAAAGTTGTCCTCTTAATTCCTCTTTAATTAAACAAATATCAAATGTAGAAATCGCATCGATGCAGGAAATAGAGAATGAATATTAGTCATCTGAGAAAACGTTTTTTTTTTCTTTCTTTCATGAAGTTGTTTTCTCGCCATAATTACATTATTATTTAAATCTGAGATCTTCATTCACATATATAGGAAAAATGGGTTAAGACCGTATATCACAAATAAAGATAACAAATTGCAGCAGTATGGGAAATCCTTGGTGATCCACCACTACTATTATAAAAAAATAGAAGAAATCATTGCAGAACAATGAGAACTTACGAAAAATTCTTTTTTTTCGGTGTTGCAAATAAATTACGTTACTTACGGTTTAAATAAAATAACTATTATAAAAAAAATTTTATTTACTTCTGCGGAGACAAAAATTGATTCTCGCGATTGAAATAAAAATTCCCTTTTTTATTAGAAATGTATTTTTCCCACGCGTGATAGATCCATATTGGCAAAATTCAGAGCACAATGAACCCACCGAAATATAATGAAACGCTCCCCCCCCTCTATATCGTGCGTGAGATGATTTCGTCTTCAAGTTGTACGCACATAATCTTCGGCGGCCGATTAGTCTCGAAAAACCAGTTTCCTATTTTGCAGCTCCCACGCTTGCTATATAACGTGCACACAACAGGTGCCATCCAAATTCGCAAAATTTCAAAATAAAAAAAATACTATATTTGACTTATTTTCCTATATGTTATTAATTTTTTTGTTTTTTAAACAATATTAATTATAATAAATATCCTGTTTTTAATTCTCAAAAAAAAAATTTTTTTAATAGAAATATTTTGAGACAAAAAATATATGTATACAAGTTGTACAATATTAGACATAATGGAACTGAAGAGAGTGACCCTATTTGAAATAATTAAACGATTAATTCCCCTTAATTCAAACGTGGCTCGAAATATGGTTCACAATGTTAAACATTTTACTCTATTCCTAGATGACCTAGATGACGTTTCACGAACAGTAAAACATGGAACTTTCAACCTGAACGACCAACTCTCACATTCATATATAATTTCCTGCTAATAAATTGTCTTTTCTAAAGGCAGTGATTTTCCAAATCCTCTATATGATGTGACAAAACAAAAGTAAAAAAAAAGAGAGAGAGAGAGAGAGAGAGAGATTTTCCTCACGACGCGATTAAGAAATGTCAAATGCAAATGTCACATCTCATTAAAAAGCATGGGATCATTAGCAGACTGACAGTTAATTGCAATTTATTGTGATTGGTAAGTGCATGATTAATCTATCTCTCTCAAAAAAAAAATAATAATCTCTCTAAGGCAAATCTTATTTATTAGTACTTTTATTTTAACCCAATGAGTCGACATTTGATTTACCATCTATTAAATCTACCTCAACTAAATTTCAAATTTTAATCCGAAAATAATTTTTAAAAATATGCAATGAATTTACAGAGAAATAGTCTATTGTGACTTTGTAATAAAAAAAAAAAGTTTTTTTT